TCGATTAATTAGGTTGGATTTAGACCAGAGTTTTGAAATCCTGTAAACTCCGAGGAAACAATGGCAAAAAAAGGGGTTAGCTAAGGCGGTCCATTCGCTGTAAGATTATCGATTGTACATTATTTTTATTTAATATTAATATTTTCTCGCTTTTTATATCATTCCCTAAGTTTCATGGATTTGATTACATATAATTTGACATATGTTCTCATTGAACGAAGTACGAAATCATTGATTACTAAATTTCGATCAAAAGTATATATTACGTGAAATTTTCGAGTCGTAATTTGAATTATGTTGAATGCATTCCAAGTTAACTGTCAATATTTCAATTGAAAACTTAACCCATTAAAATTAAAATAAAAGGGCAAACTTGAATGACTACATTAGAATAAAATAAACTTGGATAGCGGGAGTATATATCTTTCTACAGAAAAACAATTACAAAATCTCATTAAAAACTTGAGATTCCATGTTAAAAACAATTTAAACTATGAATAAATAAAGTTGGGTAGATGATAAATGGTTAGTACTTGTAAGTTGTATAAAGGGTTTGCCTTTCGACTTGTGCTTTAACGGGGCACGAGTGCATTTCATTTAATCATAAAATGTAATCATGGATCGGGTTTAGGGTGAACTAATTAGGGGTGAACAAAAATTGTCATAGAAATCGTGGTTTTAAAATCATTAATTTGGTTTCACGTGGATCCGTCAATGTTTATGTTCCGAACCAAATGTTTGAAACGTTTTGATTTAGGTATTGATAGTTAAAATCCGTTTGAAATCAAGTCGGAATGTCCATTTTTTTTTCTTATATCACTCAAAATGTATTATTTATTAGTTCAATTATACTTGAAAAAACCTATATTTTTATTAGGAAAATAAAGATTTATGATAATATTTTTCTTATCTATTTCAAAAATAATGAACTTTCAAGCTTAAAATTTATGGTTGAACTATGTATTAATTTATTGGTTTAAAGTATTTTAATATTTATATATTTTTGGAAATTTTCAATTAAGTGTTATATTGAGATTTGATACCAATTTATTTTTTCACTCGCTTTAAAGTTGTTATTTTTATGTCGCTAAAACCCAAGTTTGAAACTAAATCAAGTCGCAAAAAATGATTTTGTTTGAAAAATGAAATGGTTTGGTTTGGTTTAGTTTGAAAGTTTACCAAACTGTTTCAAATATTCTGATGTGATAATAGTTCAAAAAGTACTGTTCAAATCGAATCGTGTTGATCCCCAGAAATAATCCTTAAAAATAACCTAACATGCTCTAATATACGTTTCATTAATTTTGTTATTATCTCTATTCTTTTTTACCAAAACATGTGAGATTGTGCAATTTTTTTTTTATTTTTTATTTTTTTTGCATTGTATTGTGTAAAATTCAATATCAAATTTATTGGATAACTAATTAAAAATTCTAATAAGAAATTGTTAAGAAATTTCATGAAGTTTACTTTGACATTGCAATATCAATTAATTCGAACACGCTAAAATACCCACAAAGAGCCATTTATTTCCACATTACCAACTACTTTTGACTATTATTTCCACAGAAATAAAGACTTGTGTTTAAATATTTAAGTCCTAAATTATTGGTGGTCCAGTTCATAAGATGTTATTGTCAAGTCATTTTCTTGATTTTTGACGCCTGAAGTTTCCCTCGATGCCTTCTTATCACTTGAAGATCGGCACGGAATTATAACTAATTTCTATTCTCTTTTATTCTTTGATAACGTGTTTATGTNATCACTTGAAGATCGGCACGGATTTTTAACTAATTTCTATTCTCTTTTATTCTTTGATAACGTGTTTATGTTTGATTGAACAAAATAAAATAAAATAAATAAATAAATGTTATCATGTTTCTTATAATTTATTAAAAGTGCACTAACATCTAAGACCGTCGGACGAAATTATTTTCGTGGTTTAATTGCTTTACCTTATTTAGATGAATAATGATATTTCTGTAGTCGTTGACTATGAAGAACATTATTCTATTTAAATTGTGTCGAAGAACTCAATAGCGTGTTTCTATATGGTTTATTCCCTTTGTAACAAAGAAGCAACAGAAGTTGGCCGGAATACACACAAACAATGAGCCCTACCGTGTATTTTAAAAAAAAAACCAGGCGTGGGACCCACATGTGAGTCTATTCTGGTGAATTTATGTTTTTTTTTCTTCTGTACAAGAAGCGCTACTCTTTGGATATTTAGGGTAGTAACGCATATGGAAGTCCTATCCAACGTGCAATTATTAAGTTTCTTCAACTAAACTCTATGATTAACCACAATCATTCATCTTCTTTTTGTATTTTTATTAGTTGCATTGGGTCATTTTGAGTATAGTGATGTTGACATTGTCCCAAATTCAGGAAATTTCACGATTGAAGGTCTTGACCAAAATTTGGAGAAGTTCCGCGTAGTTAATATTTGCTAGTTAAAAGTTGATGTCGATAGAAATGTATAAGGATCGAGGAGTACAAGATTGACAACTTATTTATTCCGCGAAATATTGATTTAGATCAAAAATGGAAATATATTTCAATTACATTAAGCTCATATTTTGTTTTGCTAAAAATCATATTTCTCAATAGATTTTAATAATATCTAATGAAATGTTGATTGACAAAATAAAAGTTATGAATCTTACGAAATATTTGCTTGAAAATAATTTTAAAAATGGATGCCAAACACGAACTAATTTAATCAAAATAAAACCGAAAGCATATTGTTGGACGCACATATAGAAAAGTCTAGCATACAATCTGATTGGAATTATGCACCCGTCCTTAGGCTCTTAAGAATTATTAGAGTCAAGCCACTTTGCTATAAATCATTCTCACCTATTTGACAAATGCAGTGGTGGCGGTAGATGATTAAATGCAAAAACTGATTATTTTTTAAATAATCCAATAACATAATGCTATCTATTAAGAAATATGGCATTTTTTTCTGGCAATGTGACATAGCTGTAATTATTAACAGCACCTATAAGTAGACAAATGTAATCTATGAGGCTATGACGAAACAAATAAATAAAAGATATGTATTGTTAATGTAGTGGATGCCATAATGTTACGGATAAGAATAATGTTATTTGTATATAATGGAGTTACACAATGATTTACATATAGATAATGTGTGAAAAAAGTGGAGATAGTTTTTATTTAATTGATTTTTTTTTTTTACTCAATCATATCTCACCACATCATGTATA